GGGGAGAGCCTTCCTTTGAACTCGGCTGGGGATATTCATTTTTATACTCCGCCAGGGACGGACTTCCAGAGTATACTGGGGATGATTCTTCAACTCCACTGGGGAAGCTTTTTCAGACTGCGCTGGGAAAATTTTAAATCCACTGGGGATATCTTGTATTCTGCCGGGGAATATTCTCATACTCCGTTGGGGAATATTAAGACTGCCAGGGATATTAAGCCTTTTCAGTGCTGATGGTAGATAAACTCTGCTTGGGGAGAATATTACCGATTCATTCACAGTTGGGAGTCTCAGCTGGGGAGAGCTATCTTTACTGTTTTACTCTACGGGGAGTGAATGTTTCTTAGCCATGTTCTTCAGCTGAATTTACCTTGTACCTGGTGGACAGAGCAACTATACGGCTTGGACAATTCTTATTTGCCCCTATTTCCGATATTACCAGTAATCATCTTTTCGTTTCACATGCAAATATTTATGAGCGGCAATTAATGTCAAGTGCATATATCAAAAATGAACATTAGACGTTCTTTGCAAAACAAAACAGATAAAGGAAAAACAGTTTGAAATTTCTTTGAAAATGAATTGTATTGATTTTGAATTTTAGCCTGTGAATAGGCGTTTTTGTACAAGAGGCTGACGTCCTAGTAAGAAAACGCCGCCGAATAATAGAATTTACACAATTTGTGAAAAGAAAACAAAACAACTATGTGAATGATCCTACTGGGTTCCAATTCTGCTATTGCCTTTATGTTCTAGAGCATCTCATCACTTTGCTGCTTGGTTGAAGGTAGATCAGATTGATTAGTGTCATCCGAGCTTGATAGTCGATACCGAAGTCTAGATGCAAGGTGATCCAATGAGACATAGTGTTACACTTTAATCCCTAATTTTTTCCTGGACCGCCCTTTCGGGTTTTCAGTCCACCGGGATACCCCTTTTTTGCCCAAGTCGCCTTTTCAGGTTTTCGACTTGCCGGGTGTACAGTTTTTTCTCGTTTTCATCCCTTATTTTTTCCCGAACCCTTTTGGTTCGCCGGGAAGCCCTTATTTTTTCCTAGGCCAGTAAACCTAGTGGGTCTTTGATTATGCGTAGTATTTTTTCACTATGTCTGCATTGACGGGGTGAGGAAGGTCGTCACCATCCATGGTGGTTAGAATCATAGCTCCTCCTGAGAAAATGTTCTTAACCACAAATGGCCCTTCGTAAGTAGGGGTCCATTTGCCCATGGGATCACCTTGAGGCAGGATAATGCGCTTGATAACCAGGTCCCTAACTTGATACTCTTGCCGTCTGACTTTCTTGTTAAATGCCTTGATCATCCGTTTTTGATACGTTTGACCATGACAAATAGCAGTAAGTCTATTTTCGTCGATTAAGTTCAGCTGATCAAGCCGGGTCTGGATCCAGTCATCTTCACTCAAACCTGCATCCTTCATAATCCGAAGAGAGGGTATCTGAACTTCAATGGGCAAGACTGCCTCCATGCCATAAACCAAGGAATAGGGTATTGCCCCTGTCGACGTCCGTGCTGAGGTACGATACCCATGAAGAGAAAATGGTAACATCTCGTGCCAGTCTTTGTATGTTACTGTCATCTTCTGCACAATCTTCTTAGTGTTCTTATTAGCCGCTTCTACAACCCCATTCATCTTCGGCCGGTAAGGAGAAGAGTTGTGATGCTGTATCTTGAACTACTTGCAGAGCTCAGTGATCATCTTATTGTTGAGATTTGTGCCACTTTCCATAATGATCCTCTCTGGTACACCATATCGACAAATCAGATTGTGCCGAATGAACCGTGCCACGACGTTCTTGGTTACAGTGGCAAAGGAAGCTGCTTCAACCCACTTTGTAAAGTAGTCAATAGCTACCAGGATGAAACGATGCCCGTTGGATGCTGTAGGTCTGATCTCGCCGATCATATCAATGCCGCACATCGCAAAAGGCCAAGGTGTCGTCAAGACGTTCAGAGGAACTGGAGGTATGTGCACCTTATCAGCATAGACTTGGCACTTTTGACATGTCCGAGAATGTTGATAACAGTCGGCTTCCATTGTGGACCAATAATATCCTGCCCGGAGGATTTTCTTTGCCATGGTGTGTCCACTGGAATGAGTTTCGAAAGTACCTTCATGCAAATCTGCCATGATCCTTTCTGCTTCATTCTTATCCACACAACGCAGTAAGGTCGAATCATGGTTACGCTTGTAAAGGATACCATTGCTGATGAAGAACTTTGCCGCGAACCTCCTCAGAAACTTCTTATCATTAACAGATGCACCCTCGGGGTATTCCTGAGCCTCAAGGTATCTCTTCGCCTCATGAAACCAAGGTTTATCTTCTACCTCTTCAGTCTCAATGTCACAGCAATGTGCAGGTTCATCCAATCTTTCAATGATAATCCGGGGAGCTTCGTTTTCCCAATTGACTTTGAACATAGAAGACATCATAGCCAGCGCGTTCACCAACTGATTCTCCTCTCTTGGGAAGTGTTCAAAGGTTATCTCCTCGAAATGGGAAAGCAACGTCAATACATACTCCTTGTAAGGAATAAGGTTAGGGTGTTTCATATCCCACTCTCCTTTGATCTGACTGATCACGAGATCGGAATCTCCGAAGACACTCAGAAACTTAATCCTTAGGTCAATTTGTGTTTGAAGGCCCATGATGCATGCTTCATACTCCGCCATATTGTTGGTGCAGTTGAAACATAGTCGGGCGGTGAATGGAGTATGAGAGCCTTTAGGAGATATGATCACGGCGCCAATGCCATTGCCCAAAGCATTCGAAGCTCCATCAAAGTACATAGACCATCGGGATCCTTCCTCGGGTCCTCCATGCGGTCTAGGTTTTTCAATCAGTTACTAACATGATATTCTCATCCGGAAATTCAAAGTTCATAGACTGGTAATCATACACTGCCTGATGTTCCAGATGGTCTGCCAACACACTTCCCTTGATTTCCTTTTGGGTCGTATACTGGATGTCATACTCAGTCAAGATCATCTGCCATCTTGCTATTCTTCCGGACAAGGCAGGCTTCTCGAAGATATACTTGATAGGATCCATTTTTGATATCAATAGGGTAGTGTGAGTCAGCATATACTGTCTCAACCGACGAGTAGCCCATGCCAAAGCGCAACAAGTTTTCTCGAGCAACGAGTAACGGGTCTAGCAGTCGATAAACTTTTTTCTAAGGTAATAAATAACATGCTCTTTTCGGCCAGACTCGTCATGCTGCCCCAACACACACCCCACTGAGTTGTCGAGTACTGTCAAGTATAAGATCAAAGGTCTCCCTTCAACTGGCAGCATCAGAATAGGTGGCTCTTGGAGATACTCTTTGATCCTTTCAAAAGCAGCCTGACATTCGTCGTTCCATCTTACCACTTGATCTTTCTTCAGTAACTTGAAGATTGGCTCACAAGTAGCAGTCAGGTGCGAGATGAATCGGGCAATATAGTTCAGACGTCCCAGAAAGCCTCTGACTTCTTTCTCTGTTCTGGGAGCTGGCATTTCCTGTATAGCTTTCACCTTCGCAGGATCCACTTGAATACCTTTATCGCTTAGGATGAAACCCAACAGCTTACTGTTGTACCCCAATTTTTGACCTAAGATCCCATTTTTATTTTTGCATAAGTCAAGGTCACAAAATACGGTCGGTTTTAACCTCTCACCTTCGAGCTTTGACTATGCAAAGATTGTCAAGTGTTTTGAATATTTTTAGCATATGTATCACTAATTTCTAATCGCATACAAAGGTGTATGTTCATGTTTTCTTTTGTGTCATGTGCAGAGACAGGTCTGAATCAAGAGCATCAGGTGTCGCGCCTCAATTAAAGTTTTGAGTCTCCCAAGCCCGAAGTACGGTTGATTATGGATTCTCGAAGACTGATTCATCAAGGCACAACTGTTGCACCCTAAATTTCACCCCTAATTTTTTCAATCGCACATTCATACCATATTTTGTTATTTGGTCACGATCATTAGTAAATATCTTCATTCATCACATTTTGCATCATTAGTCGTATTTAAGTTGATCAGAAAAAGTCAGTTTAAATCAAAGTTTGCATCGTCTTTCAGTTGTAAAATACCCGGCATTTTGCTTCATGCATTTTTATCTATTTACTCGTTTGTTGCATTGCTCCAAGTTGTTTATATGTCAATAATAAAAATATTTTGGTTTTATAGACAGACTGTTAAAAGCGATTCGACACTATGCAGGAAATTAGCGAGAAAATATTTCAAGTTTTCACCTTTTACCGATCATTTTATGAATCTGCATTTCGCGTAGATTATGACGGTATGCTCGCTTTATTTTTTCGGTACAGTTCGAAGTCTCGTTTTTAACCTTAAACGTCTGTTTAGTCTGATATTTTTATTATTATTTTATTTTTGATTTTTTGACTTCTTGAATATTTTTTCTTTAATCTTCGTGACATGTAGTTTATTTTAATGTGTTCATTTTATTTTATCGGATAAATTTTCGTCCGTTTTTTATCGTTTTCGGTCATTTTGTGTCTTTATTTTTAATTCAGAAAAATTCAAAAAAAATTATTTTAAATTGAGTTATTTTTTATACTTTCAGGTTTTATTTTATTTTTGTCATTCAGGGGCTTTTTGGTCACAAAAAATTATTGATTATACTATACTCTATTCCTATTGGTTGTTGGATGAAATTGAGGATCGATACAAAATTGCCAAAACAGAATTGAAGTTTTGAACGGATGTGATTAAATTTCAGATTATATTTTTCTTTTTCACTTTCTATATAAAGCCTCTTATTATCTTTGCAAAAAAGGGAGGAGAATACACATACAGTAGGTAGCTTTCTGCCTCATTTTCTCATGCCATTCATTTACTACCCAGACTTCACTTTGTTTCCTTTTCCTCACACACTAAAACAACACTTACAGTAACACTAACCCATTTTTCTTCATCCCTTCCCACACCCTTAATGTTTCTCTCTCCATGAATCCTTCTTCCGCTGATAGACACCAATGGGGAGTACGGCGGCGGCGGAGAAGACCGAACAAGAGCTACGCCGCGAGATCGACGAGCTTCTTCGCCAACAGCGCGAGATAACCGAGAGGCTTCGAGATCCTCGTGGCCTTCGCAAGGGTGCCTTACCAGCTCCTGTTTTACGCAACAATGCTATTCGTCAACATTCCTTTCTTCGTCCTGGCGTAGATAATAATGATTCTGAAGATCAACCTCCTACTAAACGTAGACTTTCATCTGCTATTGTTAAGCTTGAGGAAGGGGAGTTGGTTGAAGATGTTGATGCTGTGAACACAAAGGATTCAACCTACAAAAGTGAAAATGGGAATGCTACCGCTGGTCAGAATGATGTGAACCGTTTTAATTCTCACCAAAGTGGATTGTCTAGAAGAGATGGCTATCAGAGAAATTCAAAGGCTTTTGATATTCCTACTTCAGAACATGTTCCGAGGGTGTTGCCTAAGAATGAAGACCCAAGCTTGGTTAATAGGAACAAAAGAATGCTGGGTCAGCTTTTGGGAACTCTGGAGAAATTCAGAAAAGAAGACAAGCAGCTCTCAGGAACTGAGGCATATATGAGAAGATCTAATTCGTTGCAAAGAGCTGAGCAAAGAGCACGGGAAGAAAGTGAAAGGCTTAGGAAAGAAGAGCGTGAACAGATTGCTGAAAAACGGAGGCGGGACTTGACACTTAGGGCACGTGTGGCTGCTAAGACAGAAGAAAAGAAATTGGAGTTACTCTTTCTTCGGTGGAGTGAGCATCATAAAAGACTAAGCAATTTTATAAGGACTAAAGCAGAGCCTCCAATCTACTATATGCCTAACATGCCGTTGGATGAAGATGCTACATCAGCTGAGAAACGCATAGATGAGGATTTCCTTGAATGGAAGAATGCAAGAAGAGAGGAATTGTCTGAGTATCAAAAACAAATTGGGGACCAGTATCTTGCCAATGTTGAGAAGGACTTGGAGAGATGGCAGAATGCCAGAAATGCAAGGAAAGTAAACAGTAATGACCAGAATTTACAAGAAACTATGAACAAAGGAATTGAAAATGGTGAGTATCTGTGTGTGGAAAGTGATTTGGAAGGAAAGAAGATTAGTAATGTTAGTAAAGGCGAAAGTTTTTCAATTTCGAAGATTTGGTTGTGGCCAAGGAAGGGAAAATTTTCTTCAAGTTCTTTAGAAGCACATAATGGAATGGCATTACCATCTTATCTATTCCGCGATTTCCAGCACCATCAATTTCTAGTTTCGGCTTTTCGGTATGTTTCGATCTCTTTGCTAATTGTGTTTGTTCAAGTTAAATGATTTTGATTTTGCCCTTGTCTGCGGAGATGACTATGCTAGATAGTGTTGATGTCATTATGCTCAATGTGAAATTAATTGATAATGAATTTGTGTTGATAACATATTTTAGATGTTAAATTCATGAGAAGCTTGAAATGTTTTTAGTATGTTGTTTTTTCAATATGTGAATTCAAATATCTTCTCATAAATTGACACAAATTATGAGCTGGATTGATGATTGTAAAATATAGAAGCCGATAAAATTTTGAAAGAAGAATGAAGAAGTTTTCTTTGGATTTGGTCTGTTAATATGTTTTCTACTGGTTCATGTTCATAACATTTTTCATGCTTTGCCATATACTACTTTTCATGGATTATTTGTTTTCATGTGATTTTGAAAAGTCACGAGATGTTCAATTGTATTTTATTTTTACTATTAAAGAAAATGGGGTGGTTTGATTTTGTTTGTTTTTTCTTATCTTCCTTTCTAAATTAATTTTTATTATTTATAGTCTAGTTAATTTATTCTCTCATAGATAAGTCTCTAAAATTTTAAATATTTAGTTTATTATTCAATTAGTTTATATTAATTTTTAGTTTATCAAAGTGGTTCTATTGTACATAATGTGTATGCATATGAATCATTTCTAACTTCTTGTATATAAGATGTAAATTGCAATGTGAATCTCAAATGAATTGATGACCATGTTCAACATTGTGTTTACTTGAGTTTAAATGTGTTTAGAACATTGAATGCCATGTTGATTTTTGTTGGGTACTTTGAGTAATCATCATTTATTTGGTTCATGTTTTGAATCCAATTTCTCATGTTGCAAAGTGAGCTTTGGATATTTGTTTTCCGTTGTGCTTGAAATAGCGGTTGCTTTTGATACATTTGAAATAATGTGCACGATGTTGATTTTTTGTGTTTACATGGAATAATGTCATGAATTCTTGATTTTATTTGTGTAAATATTCATGTGCATTCATACAATTTCATTTCATTTCTTTATTTTGTGATTTCTAACAAAGTTTTTAATTGTTGCGATTTCATTCATTTTAATTTTTATAAACCGCTTATGCTACTAACGAGTTTGCTTATTGTGAAGGTTTTTGAAAATCGTTTCAAGTATCCATTCTCACATAGCGCATCAATAACTCTTACACTTCTCCCTTTTACCTTTTTATTTTATTTTACTATTCTGATTTAATATTTGGTACTGTAAATATATACTTGTATATAATATTTTGACTGTATATTTTACTTGTAAATAAATTCAGGTTTTAAAAATATTATTTTCATCGCATTGTGATTTTATTTCCAATTCCAACTAACTTCCGAAAATTGTGCGGACGCACATAAGTTTCCCATGCTGTTAGATTTCGTCGGTATATCTCTTGTGATGCAGGGATTCTTATCTGACACCGTGAGCGTTATCCACCGCCTTTGCGCTTTATCTGATGCTTGGAGTATTATCTCACATTAAGATTTTTTGATGATGCTGTCGGCTTGTGATTTATTTTCACCTAAGGTTTGGTATATTCTTAGCTTACTTATCTGTCTGTGGCTTTTAATCCAAGGGAAAGTATTAATTTGTTAACTTCATGTCATCAAACATCTTCTACAATCGTGCGAATAGCCTCATTCATTTTTTGCTTGTTTACTATTTTTCCAAACTTAAGATAATTTTCCCAAAAGACTCCATTTTCAAACTCACACCTTTTAAGTCCAAACTTCGACATTAGGTCGTCGTATCTTCAAAAATCTCGTCCATACCCATCTTTTAGCCAAACGAATCATTTTTAATCAAACAAACAATTTTAACCAAAAACAGATATTTCAAAAGGTTCCTGCGGAGTACCGCAGATGCATTGGGTGCTAGTACCTTCCCATTGTATAACCAACCCCCGAACTCTCGATCTCTTTTAAAAACGCATTGTATTTTCATTACTTTTAAATATTAATTTACATTGCATACTTTAGGGTTTTATTTCGCTCTTTTCCCTTTTTCCTTGGAAATAATAAAGCGCGGTGGCGACTCTTGCTTTTGCGAGTCAAGTTAATTAATAGCTTGATCTCCGATTTTCACCGCTACAGAATTGGCGACTCTGCTGGGGACAGATTGACCTCTTGCTGGTCCATCCCTAAGTGGGTTAAGCCTAATTTGTTTTATCTGTTTTATCATTATTTGATTGTTTGATTATATGTATATATTATGATTATTTGGGTGCTGATAATATTTACAAAGGACAAGTCCTATACCCGGACTAAGTTACACTTAGGAATAGGACGGGCGGTATAGTCATGTTAACTTTGAGGGAGTAATCCCGAAGAAGGAGGCATGAGATCCCCCACTCAGTGGAAGGCCCTTTTGAACGTAATATTTGTTTACCGAGTAATCGGGAAGACATTATTATTTTCGACCTGGGAGCCAAAGAAGCTGGGAACCGTAGAACCCTAACCCATCTTGGCCTTTTAGGTGTAGCGCGGAGATTATAACGGAGTAATCCGGAAGTAATTGTTACGCGATGCTACGCTCGGATGAGTTTCTCTTGAGAATATTGCTGATTATTGAGTAATTAAGACGTTGGTAATATCCGAAGGAGGAATGTAGACTCCGGGAACTCTTAGAACCTTGTTCTACAGGTGTGATTAAACCGTTAGTACATACCTTGGGGGTGTTCCTTACCTTGACTCCATGCTCGTGACGTTGAACCTTTCGACTTTATTTGTGACCTTGCTTGTGGTTGTTGCATAGCCATGCATTCATGCATCCATAAAACCCTTTTCACTTAACTTTGAAGGAATTTGGAGGTCTTTCTTTGTAAACATCACAAGTTTCGTCAAGCTCAGTGGATCTTGGGTGTTGATAGGGCGAAAACCCTAATCCACCAAAATGGATGATTGATCTTGATGATAACTTGATCAATGTTTGAAGCCAATTTAAAATTCATCTTCTATCTTCATACTTTGATGTTTACAACTTAATATCTTGAGTTCCTTGAAAATCAAATAAAAACTCTCTTTTGCATATCATACATCATTCTACATTTTTTTGTTTCACTGTCAAAGGTCTTTTTCCGAGTCTTATTTTTCCTTTGGTCTCACCAGTACAACACTCGCGCTAAGGAAACAATGGAGAATATCAAGCAAGAGGTTTCTGAACTCCGTAGAGAGATGACTATTTTGAAAGCTGGTATGGATCACTCGACTGTTTTGGGTTGAAATTTTGGTTACCGCCCAAGTCAATCCTTCTAGGAGGGAGGAAGCGATGACAAAAGTATTCACTAAAACTCTAAAATCATTCTCTCATGAGAAGGTGATGGTTAATGCCCCTAATGACTTTCCTGACAAGGTGAATGTGGGAGTGCGTTTAGAAGAAGATGTTGGGAAGGGATGTTCATATGAAGATGGTAGCTCAACTAATGGTGTGAAGAAAGTTTGATAATAACTTTTCCAAGAAGAGAACCAGAGGAAGAAATAATCATTGTCAGAATCATCATGTTTCTCCTATTCATCAACAGAATCAGCAAGTTCCTGATCAGAGGAAAACCCAGTTTGATCCAATTCCAATTACCTATACAGAGTTGTTCCTTATCCTGATGCAGAGGAACTTGGTTCAGACCCGACCTCCACCGAAGGTTCCTGAGAAGATACATTGGTACTACAAAGCTGGTTTGGCTTGTACCTTTCATCAAGGTGTTCCTGGGCATGACTTGGAGGGTTGCTTTGCTTTGAAGATTGAGGTTCAGAAGTTGTATCTTGTCATTCAAGGACGTTGGTTTTGAAGTTCAAATCCAGCACGTACCGAAGAGTAAACACGATTGATGGTCAATTTGAGTTTTGAAGGATGTTTTCGGTAATTCAAGTCCAGATGGAAAGCCTTCCCAGATTATTAACTTATTTCTGCTTTTGTAATTTTTCTTGTTTATCAAAACATTGTTTGCATGTAAGAACTTGTTTGCATCTGAATGATTATCTTAATACAATGAGTATGTTTGTCTTGAAGAAATTCATTCGTTTCACTCATGTTTGTTTTTAAATTTTAAATTGCTTTTTGCACTATGATACCAAATTGTTGCTCATTCTCTTGCCTAGGCAGAGATTGAAGGGATGATGATGATCTAAAGAACACAAAATCTCTGGTTGCATGCTTTTGGATAAAATCTTGCTGATGATGTACAGGCATTGTTTCAAATCCCTAAACACTGGAGATATAAGGAAGATAATCCCTTGCTAACCCCTTTTGAGCCTTTGAAGAAGAAGTTTCTTTTCTATACGAAAAAACCTTGAATTTTAACCTGGGGCAGGGTAGTTTTTAGTTAATCTGACTGAGTGTTCAAAATTCATAAGGAAGATGTTTTTTGAAGAGAAACTACGAGGGCTATCTTTCATGTATAATGAAGCCAGAAGATGTGGAATCATAATGTTATCCCTCATTCATCAAGAAACGAGGCAATCACAATCTTCTCAACAAGCAAATACAAGCTAATGTCACACATTTTGTTCAAAAAGTCAAAAAATCGAGAAAAAGAAAAAGCCTGCTAAGTCAAAAAACATGAAAACGTGTGACTTAGGCAAAATTAAGGCATCCCGCTGGACTATCAATTCAAAAGAATTACTTCAGGCAAAAGTTAGGGAAAATAAAATTGCAAAGAAAGGACTACAAAGAAAAGTCCTCATCAAAGAACAAATTAGTGACTACAAACACGAAGACATGAGGGTGGTTTTTACTCCGAAAGCCTCGTCGTTTCCTTGACCGTCACAAAATCCTTTTGAGAAATGAACACTCATGTTGAATTAACTGAACATAGGGTTGGAGAACATCATGAAGAATGGGTGGGCACCGAATATTTTAAGCCTTAAAATCTTTTTTCTAAAAAAACCATGAACCATACCACGTTACAACCTTCAAAAGTCCTAATTGAAGCAAGGTTATTTTGAAAGCATACTTCAATGAGATAGTGTTCCTGACTCCCATGAATGTTCTAAATAGTTATGCTGGTATCATATGTTTTTC